CTATTATTTTCATAATAAAGGTATTCATTAAATCACTTGGAAGCTATGTAGCATAAAGCCCAACCTGGCTACTTGCTGCAAGAAGTGTAGATTATTAAGTCAAAACTATCCTTCACTTAAGTTCATTTTTGTCTGTTTGTTTACGCAGGTGTCTGTATGTAGGGGTTTGTGAATTCTAGCTAGTAACTGATTGTGGTGAGGTCTATGGGGGTAGATTAGCTTGACTCTAATATGCTATCTGCTTTTGTGGTCTCACAAATGCAGTTACTTAGGTTTTCTAATGAAAGGGAGTAATTTACACAATTCTCTTTGTATTCAATCCACCAAAGCTGAAAGCAATTGCTGCTAAGCCAGTTTTTTCTAAGGAGCTCTGGTAGCGTAGTGGTTACGAATTGGGCTGCAAACTGCAGTATCAGCGGTTCGAAACTACCAGCTGCTCCGCGGGAGAACGATGAGGCTTTCTGCTCCCGTAAAGACTCGGAAACCCTGTTCAGGGTCGCTATGGGTCGGAACCGACTCGATGGCACTTAACAAAAGCAACAACAATAGAACTCATAGTGAAAGGCTGTGAATATGGCCATATTATATATTTTTAAAAGTAAAATTAAGATTACTCTAAAGAGAAGGTAGAAAGCAACTTCTGAGAGCCATCTGTCTTGCAAGATGACTCCACTATTTGCTGGAACTGTGTCAAGACGCAAATCGAAACTGTTCTCTACTCTCAACCGCTCCCAACAAACAATAAATCAACTTTAGCTTTGAAAGATGCTGTGAAGAAAATAAAATTGTATGTATTCTTTCAAAATTGCTTGGAAGATATACAGTTTTATTGACAGAAATTTTATTGACATTTGGGTACATTGGTCTACAACATGCAAAAATTCCACTAATGGAGACATGATTTGGAGATAATTATTGAATTATCTGATCATGAGATATTGTGCTTTGTTTAAAAAATATTTTTACAGGGTAAATTTTATAGCTCACTTAGTTTTAAATAGATGTTTGAATGGAAGCACATCTTTTGGGCAAACTAAAAAGTATTTTAAAAGCATAAATATAAGTTGAGGGTTTTTATAAAAGACAAAGGGAGAGAGAAATAAAAATTTAAAAATATAAAAATACATCATTTTAAATGAGTTTTGAAACTATAAAAGAGTTAAAACTATGAAAGAACACTAGATTGTTTAAGCATATTTATTCAAAAGTGTTTCTTCAATGTTTGAATAGTTGTGGGAAAGAAAAGTCCCCAAATTAAAAAAAAAAAAAATTATAGGAACCCCTTTAAAAAGTTTTAAAATGAACTAAGAAAACAGAAAGACAGAAACAGCTCATCTGGATGCGGCATACCATCTGCATGAGGCCATAATGGTCTCCAAGGGACTCAATCCCCTTAGGGCACAGATAACAATGGAACAATGGCATAAAACTTTGAATTCATAGTAGTTACAGACTAAGAATTAAGAACATGAGTAGGGATCATTGCAGATAAAAAAAGTCTACAGGCTTGGCCCTGTGGCCCTCTGATAATCTGAGTATAATTCAGAACTATAGATGTGAGGTGTCCTAATTTTTATTAAGGGGCTGCCAAGGCAAGTCCCTGAGTAGGAGACTACCCCTTCCCTGGACAAAGTAGGGGAATGCCATAAAACACTTTCAATACATGCTACCTGAGGGTAAAAGTGCATCTCCCTTCTTTACCAAAATTACCTTGGTGACTCTGGCAGTTCAGTTGTCAGTAGTGTGTGAAGTATTCAAGATGGCATCTGAACTTATTGTCACGACACAAACCTTATAAGAGAGTGTTTTGGTTCATCCATATCACCGTTACTACCGCCATTGCTACCTCTGCCGAGTGTGGAAGGACAGGCTACTGCAACAGATCTGACAGAACAGGGTAAATGATGAGAGGAATCAAGCTGAAGAGTATGTGGTCAGGCCCTGACAGCTAATTTACCCACCAGTAGCAACCACAACCTGGTTCTGCAGCCTCTACTATTCGCCTAATGGACAGACAGAGCCTGGGGAGTCTGCACCCAGGTCAGTCTAGAGGACTTTTCTCACCCACTGTCTCAGGCCTGAGGAATGCAAGTCGGCCTGTCAGACAACCCAGTGCTGTGCAGAGGCTGTGGAAGCTGGTGAATCCGGTCAGCTGACAGGCCCAACATCCCAAGCATTGGATATCACACATAATGAGCCAGATACAAGTACCAGAGCATTAGAGAGATCTTTTCCAAAGCAGTCTTAGGAACTGGAGTAAGACCATGCCCCCAAGGGAAACTAAGGGTGGTGATTTGAGTCAAATCCTCCAGTAAAGTGGGGACAACTTTCACCCCTGGTGGTGGTGAAGTGTGCTGTGGAGTCGGTTCCTACTCATAGCGACCCTGTACAGGGTTTCCTAGGCTGTAAATCTTTACAGGAGCAGAAAGCCTCCTCTTTCTCCCATGGAACAGCTGGTAGTTTCAAACTACTGACCTTGAGGTTAGCAGCCTGACTTGTAACCACCATGCTACCAGAGCCTAGTTCCACTTAATCTTTAATCCTTAGCC